GCTCATGTTTCCATTCATTCTTATAATGTACTAAGAAAAGACCGTGGAGCTCGGCATGGGGGCGGTGTCGCTTTGTATATCTCCAACAGAATTCCTTTCAAAGCACGTCGTGATTTGGACGTTCCAGGCCATGTACCTCCCGCCAACCGATGACCACGCGTTCTTCGAGAAATTTGATGAATGCATGGACAGAATTGCTGATGAAGATGAGGAAGTAATAATTATGGGCAATCTCAACTGTAATTGGCTGGCTTCTGATAATTCAGGGCCAATAGGAAAGTTGAGATTCTCCTGTATGTTGTACCAGCTAGAGAATGTCATGACAACACCAACCAGAACCACTGACACCTCCTCCACTTCGTTAGATGTGATCCTAACAAATGAGACAACACGTCTGCACAACCAGGGGACTTACGAGGGGGGCTTCAGTAACCATGTTATGACTTTTGCTTTCCACAGAAAAAAAAGTCCCAGACATCAACCCAACTTCACATGTAGAAGAGTTTATAAATCATTTAACCCTAAACAGTACACCTGGGGTCCGCGCGGACCAGCACTATATATTCTGTAATATCTTTTTTGTTTCTAAAGATTTTTTTCTGAAATTTTAGGTAATTGTCACCCACAAAGTTGTCTCTCAATACAATGCAGAAAACTCCGTTTCTACCATTTATAAAAAAAAATTATATCTGATTTTCTTTTGGGGTCCGCGCGGACCCTAGCCGGCTTTCGATCATAATGGATACACTGGCGTTCTTATACATTACCTTATTTCCGTTTTTATATGTTTTTATGCACTCATCGTATGTCTACCAAGTTTTCAGAGAATGGTGTAGTAATAGAATTAGATTTTGATAACTTTGGTGTAATTATGACGTCATATGACGTCAGGGCTAATAATATAGTCCGCCATATTGGATTTTGACCAAAAACGTCATCAAATTAGCATATTCTATGCATATTAAATGATTTAACTTATATTTGATTATGTAAGATGTTACTAATGTTGGAAAAGAAGTGTAATTTAATATAAAACTCAGAAAATTTTTATGTTTAAACCAAAATTACTTCTATTTTCAAAAAAAATGCCTGCTAGAAACCCGTTGCCATGGCAACACAAAAAAAACCATCAACTTACTAGTATTAAACTAATATGAACTTTTTTCAAGAGACATTTCAGGAAAGGTCTCCAAATTTGATACTTCTAGCGCAGGCCGTTTAGCCGCTATCTGAGATCAAAGTTGGGCCTCAAAAGCCCCTTCAGTCTGAAATGGGTTTAAAAATCGGGTATTTCTTCTTGTCTTCTTTTCTTCACCAAAAAATTGAAAAAGTTCCAAATGTATGATTTTTGTATGTAATGTGGACACAGAGGTTCCCACATCAGTTTGCAAAGCAATTGAGCTAGTAGCATGTTGATAATTTCTAAAAATTAGCAAAAAACTGTTCTGGGGTCCGCGCGGATTCCAGGTGTACAGATTAATCAGTCCGGGAAGGTGTACTGTTGAGGGTTAATGAAGAAAAGTATCGTGAAGATCTTGCCCAAATACCATGGCACATCATCGAAAACTTTCCAACTATAGACGAACAGGTTGACGTCTGGGAAGAGCTGGTTATCGGAGTTGCCAACACACATGCCCCATTGAAATAAGGTAAAATCAGAGGTACACCTGCACCATGGTTCACTAGCGACCTTCGCGACCTCATTGCTCTACGAGACAAAATGTACAAGAGAGCGAAACGCTCCGGTAGTGCAAGCGACATGTCCGACTACAAGGGAATGAAAAACATGGTGAATTACTTATGCCGCCAAGCTAAAAAAAGATCATGCAGCTAAGTCAGTAATCCAGGGATCAGACGGGGGGCAGGCTGGGGTCTGGAAGGCCATACGTACACTACTACCCATCAAGACATCAAACACTGTTACTTACCTGGAACATGGCGGCCAGAGTATTTGTGACAGTAAAGGGATGGCAGAAACTTTGAACAATTTTTTTTTTTATAAAATTATACAGGACTTGTGTAGTGCACTCTCAGGAGCTGTCTCGCCCTACTCACCTACACAGTTTGTAAACGTAGCCGAAAGCACCTTTTGCTTTCACACCAATTACAGTAGATGCTGTCACTGAACAACTATAAATGCTGGATGCAAAAAAGGCCACTGGCCTGGATAGCATTGATAATAGAAAGCAGGCCCACAGGTCTTAGCCCCATCGCTCACAGATCTTTTCAACAAATCCCTGACAACAGGAGAGTTGCTGGTCAAATGGAAAATGGCCATAGTCATGCCAATCCATAAGAAAGGTGACAGGACGTCACCCAGTAATTATCGCCCAGTATCTATCCTACCTGGTATTTCCAAAATACTAGAAATGGCGGTTCACAACCAGCTATACGGTTACCTTAACCAGCACCAACTACTCTCACAATGCCAGTCAGGTTTCAGAAAGCGTCATTCTTGCGAGTCTGCCCTGCACTTTGTAACAGAGGACTGGATTGACTCAATCTACAAAAAACAACACACTGGTGTGATCTTTTGCGATTTGTCCAGGGCCTTTGATACTCTTAACCATGACATCATGTTAGGTAAACTCAAAGCCTACGGTGTCGATGAAATGGCATGTAGATGGTTCAACTCTTACTTGACTGGCAGGCTGCAGCGCACGTGCCTTAACTCAGACCTGTCAAAACCATCCAATGTGACATGTGGCGTTCCGCAGGGGTCCATTCTTGGGCCCCTTCTTTTTATGGTATACATAAACGACCTCCCCAACTGTATACAGTCATGCAAGGTCGCTATGTATGCAGACGATACGATTCTATACTTTTCACACCGTAGCATACAGACAATACAAGACACACACCAGAACGATTCTATCCGGTTAGTACAGTGGTTCCTCGCAAACAGACTTTCTTTGAATCCCTCCAAATGCAAGTCAATGCTGGTTGGTTCAAATAGGTCCAGAGGTGTTGACCAACACTTACAACTTAGGCTAACTGGGACAGAATTGGAACAGGTATCTAGGTGTTGTGCTTTACAATGCCCTAGTCTGGAGCGACCACTTTCTTCACGTGTCAAAGAAGCTATCTCAAACAATTGGAATAATGAAGTGTTTGAGACCTTACTTAAACAGACAAGCCCTACTGACAATTTACGACAATTTGTTCCTCCCCCATATCATATACTGCAGCGCTGTTTGGGACCAGGGAGGCAAGGGGCATATAGACAAACTACAGAAGCTACAAAATAGAGCGGGAAGGGTAGTACTAGGTTGCGACCGCTACACCTCCAGTGCAACTGTTCTGAACTTGTTAGGTTGGACCTCGGTAGCACAGCACCACAAACGAGCCAAGGCTATCTACATGTGTAAGGCACTAAATGGAATGTCACCTCCACACATCTCTCAACTATTCACAACAACTGCCAGTACCCACACACACAACACCCGACTAAGCACACAGGGGGGACTTCAGCTACCAAAAGCTCGCTTGCAGTACAAAAAGAGATCGCTTTCTTTTTCAGGTGCAGTCCTCTGGAACACACTTCCTCCTAATGTCAGAAATGCAAAAACACTAAGGGTCTTCAAGACTACCTTTTCTTTCATCATTAATTTTTCTTTACTCAACAGTTAATATGATTTGTTGTTAATGTTCTATTTTGCTTTTAGACATTGATATGCAAATTCAGTTAGTTCCTATATTATTCCATTCAGTTCCATTATTATTTATATCATTATATTATATATATTTCGTATGTTTCATGTAATTTATTAGTTTGTTCCGTTTCTTTTATCATTACCCTTTAATCGTACTCAATTTACCTTTTATTATGTTATGTTATGTATGACACAGGCAGCTTTGAAAAGCGCCAAAATGGCGATATGCTAACCTTTATAAATAAATAAAAATAAAATGAAAATGAAAATATAGCGCCAGAGGTACCAGCCCGACCGCTGGTCGACGGCCGAAGGCTTGAGGGAGAGCCGATTCGCGGGAGGGCTAGGGCAGAGGGTGACGCGGAATAAAACGTTTCAATATATACATTCTTTACGGCAAAGAGGCAATACCGTTAAAAATCTTTAAAAAAAAGCAAATATATAGAAAAAAAGTAATTGAAGACGTTTTTCCGACCAAAAGACCATAGATTTACGGACCCCCGTCTGTCGGATGATGTTTAAACTACAATATCAAGGAGTAAAAACCCCGACGGTTGTCTGCCAGATCTTTGGCCCTCTTTGCAAATGTAAACTGCTGTTAATGTGGGTTTACATGTTGATAATAATGGTCAGTTCGAAGTTCTATCGTTTAACCGAAAAATGCGGCATACATACGGTGCGCGCGTATTAAGCTGGTTAAATATGGTACAAATAAAAACCAAGGGCAACCTTAAGAAAGAAATCCCAAAGCACATGGTCTTTCTAGGGAAACAAATTAGTCCTTTCTGCAAAACACACTTTAAAGCCTGCAAGCTTTAAACCAGACGAGAGTCCGTTTTGTATAATACTGAGAAGTAATTAAAATCTGATACATGTGAGGCGCATTTTAGTATACCAAACTTCTTTTGTATATACATGTGATAGATGTGAATGACAAATGGTTTCAGGAGAGTGCTCAAACATGTTACACACGTGCGTTATCTTCGTACCTAATGAGACATAAAACTATGAGCTTTAAAGCCTATTCTGCTCTTAATGTGTACTACTAAACTACAACAAATCGGACAAAGCTGTGGCTCAAAAGAATTTTTCAGTGCCCCCGACGAAATGTAGTGGATGGTACATGAAACGTCTAACCGTTTCCTAAATCATGTCCAGTTGCTCGAGTAATTTTTTGGCGTATCTTAGTACCTCGATGTCTAACCTTTACCGACGGAACCGGGGAAAGGTTTGCTTGTTACAGTTCTTAAAATATTATTCCTTTCTGAAGTAAACCAATGCATTAGTAGGCATGTCCATTAACTATAGCGGTCTGCATGGTGTATAAAACAACAGAACACTTCTTACCTCACTCCCTCGCAGACGTAGCAGAAGACCGTGTCGTGTGGCTCTCCCCGAGCCTCCTGCTGTTAGTGAAAATTCGCTCTCATATATACACATCCTAAGTGTTAAACATACAGGGAAACGTCAGCAGTCGGAAAATAGTCTGTATGCCTACATCTTCTCCCTAAGTATCCACGTGTAGACAAAAGTTGAATTTTTTAGTCTCCAACGCTGAGAACAACTCCATAACAAATATATCTGAGTTACGGACCATAATTAATCAAAATATCGTAGTAGAATTTTTAAAACATTGTCACGTTGTCAGCAATAAACTTCCTTGCATAATATGTGATACCGAATACTTGAGTGTCAAGCAAATAGAAGACTTGAACCTATATCCTGAATATCAAGTACGAAGTCAGGTCTTTATTGAACTACAACCCCCTGTAGTGCGACCTTCAGCTTTCAAAATGTTAATTTGTAGTTGGTTTTTACTTTACCTTCAGCTTTCAAAATATTAATTTGTAGTTGGTATTTACAAAGCTATTGTTGACTGTGTACCGATATGACAGAATCCAGATGTTTCTTGTGTGAAGAGATACAAATGTGTTGTAATATGTATCTCCATCCTCAAGTACAGCGTGCGACCACTGTCGTCAAGGTAGAGAGTTCAATATTTCGTTTACAAATCAATTGTAGACCTTGTAGCACTCTTATAAATATTTACGTAGCTATGTGCTTCTATTGGGTTCAAATATCTGCAATAGAAAATGTTTTTGATTAATATGTACCTACGTCAAGACCGTAAAGTATGTGGCCACTGGCCCTCCTAGTGTGTCAAAGAATGCCTTCTTTAGGTAACAATATAATAACCTATGGTTTTTGTTAGGTAACAGGTTTTTTGTATGATTCTTAATTTGTCAGAAAACATTAATTTCTTGCTACAATACCAAATGCTTTAATATTTTGTATTTTCATGTTAATGCAATGTACTGTATGTTAGGCATTATCCAAAATATTCTAAAATGTTATTATTTATCACGAAGCAAAATGTTATTATTTATCACGATTGAAAATTGACTCAAACGTTGCTGATGAGAACAATAATTTTATAATAATCTGGCTTGCTGGAATATAACGAGAGGTCATAGCTTTCTACAAAGGAGAGATACCATACTCAAACGCTTGTAAGAAAGGCTTCTTCTTTTATTGCTTCTCCTGGGTATTTACAGCAGTGTCTATTTTGGACGCTTTGTCGATCATTTTGAGAAATAAAAAAAGTAATGGTTTTGTCAGCTTTATACGAACTAAAATGTTCATAGTGAACAACTGAGATAACTCCGGTACTTCATGGCTATTTCTTGTTCTCTTCTGGGCTGGTATTAGGTATTTGGTAGTTGGGACGTCCACCAATTTATTACTATAATATTAGTCGTGTAGAACATTATGCATACTCTGGGCATTTTTCTTCTGTCTTCCAGTGACACTCACTGTAGGTTACTTTTCATTTCGGTGACACCAGTACCCCTTTCATAGTAGCTCATACAGAATATTGCATCTTGATAAGTGTAGCTATACCGTAACACAGTAGCATTTACAGGTCGTAAATAGTAAAACTTTTTTTTTCAAACTGACGGGTAATAATAGCCCTGTAGAGGCTAATAACACTGTGGAGGTTCTTGCAAATGCTCAGCAAACATTCTGACAGGAAGACCATCTTATAGGCTTTTGATGTCAAGGCTTAGTTTACCTGCAGCATCAATAAGTTGAAAGGAAAAATGAATAGGGGTACATGTTTAATTACGAGAAACAAGGGGGAAACGTGCATTGCACGTGTGTGAGTTTTGGACAATTTTTGTCGTTCGTGTTAACTTTTTAAAACGGAGTTGAGTGGTTGGCATTATGTTAAATGTATTCTTTTTTTTGCAAATAGAAGGTTGCATATTATTTCATGTATATTCATTTTTATTCTCCTTCACAACATTTAGGGCTTGATAGATAAAACGTCATATTATTTGCACTCCAAATACATCACTCGCATCTATTCATTTATCAAATCAATTGAATCTACATGGATAGCAGCTACCCGGTCACTGTTCACTTTTAAAAGTAAAATAGATGTTAGGACTAGCATATACAATACAAGTTGAGTGTTTTCTGAAGTTACAAAACTTGTCATAAAAATTTCTTTTTAATTTTAGTTAAAATTAGACTGAACAATGCAAAAATGCTTTTCCAATACTTAAAAAAAATATAAACAGACTACATACATGATACTGTGGCAAATACTATGCATTTATCTATGACTTTATCACATAACAGTTTCCATTGATCAAGTGAAAATCTTTCGGTGAATTGAATAATATTATATAAGTTTTATGAGCAACTTAATTATACGTTTAAAGAAAAAGAAAGTCTGACATGGCAACAAGGACCGGACGTCCCTCGCCGTCCCACAACTCCTTACTTCATCCAAAGACAGAAAAAACCCGGCATCACCTGCGCTGCAAGGTCAGCCTTGTTCCCCCGACAACAAATGTTGGTCATACCATCGCTCTCGGTATTTAGGTAGGTAAAGTTTGATACTTATGTTCAAACAAGGAAAAAAGCTCACCTTGAATCTAGAGCTCATTTTACCCTGGCCTTTTTGTACGCCAGTTTTACTTTCTTGTATTGAATTGAAGTATTAAACTTCAGTTTTATCACAGAATATACCAACACAGATCCTTAAACTACGTTATGTATGGCACAAGGTTCAAGATATCTCATTCAAGATGATACGCGATTCAGGTTTTTGACAGCAAATGGAACTTCTTACACTAGTACGTATTAGTCAACAGTTAGCAAGTACCTGATATTTTAATGATCGAAGTAAAAATTCAATGGTACACTTTTTTGGTTCTCTAGATCATGTAAGCTCATGTTATAAAAATATAGTATATCTAAATACTGCGCCAGGAATCGAACGTTGTTTTGAAAGTCAACCGTCAGGACTGATGGAGACAGCTCACCAATGGGAAGGTGGTGTTTTATACACTGCTGACCCCCCAACCCGAGGGAATATTAAACCAAGGACCGAAATTCCCGATGACGGGTGAAGTTCAACTGATGAACCCACTGGTGAGGCATACTAGTACCATTTTTTAGTCTCCAATGCTGACAACAACTCCAAAACAAATATGTCTAAGTTACGGACCATAATTAATCAAAATATCGTAGTAGATTTTATAAAACATTGTCACGTTGTCAGCAAGAAACTTCCTTGCATGATATGTGATACCGAATACTTGAGTGTCAAGCAAATAGAAGACTAGAACCTATATCCTGAATATCAAGTATGCTGTCATTGCCTTTATTGAACTACAACCCCCTGTAGTGCGACCTTCCGCTATCAAGATATTAATAAGTAGTTAATAAGTAGTATTTACAAAGTTATTGTAACGTGTTACCGTAACGACACGGTATGACAAAATCCACATATTTCTTGTGCGAAGAAATACAAATGGCTTGTAATATGTACCTTTATCCTCAAGTACCTCATTATCAAGCCACTGTCGTCAAGGTATAGAGTTCAATATTTCGTAGGTGTTTACAGACCAATTGTAGACCTTGTAGCACTTTTACAAATGGTTACGTAGCTTTCTACGAAGGAGACAAACCATACACAAACGCTTGTGACAAAGGCTTCTTCCATGATTGCTTGTTCTACTGGGTATTTACTGCAGTGTCCATTTTGGCCGCTTTGTCGATCATTTTGAGAAATACATCATGCATAGTCTGAACTTTTCTTTTCCATTGACACACACTGGATTTTTTTCTTCATTTCTGTGACACTAGCATTTCTTCCATAGTTGCTCATACAGAATCTTACAGCTTGATGAGTAAGGCTATACCGTAACACAGTAGCATTTACAGGCTGCAAGTAGTAAAACTTTTTTCCAAATAGAGGGAAACCATAACCATAGCCCTGTAGAGGCTAATAACACAGTGGAGGTCATTGCAAATGCTCAGCATTTTTTATCTGACAGGAAAGACCAAGTATACAGTAGGCTTTTGATGTCAAGGCTTAGTTTACCTGTACTATTGAGAAGTTGAAGGGGAAAATAAATAGGGGCACATGTTTAATTACTAGTCACAAGGAGGAAACGTGCATCGCACGTGTGTGGACTTTGGGACCATTTTTTCGTTCGTTTTGACAAGGGTGACCTTTTTAAAACGGAGATGAGTGGTTGGCATTATGTTAAATGTATTCTTTTTTTGCAAATAGAAGGATGCATGTTATTTAATGTATATTCATTTTACTTCTCCTTCACAGCATTTAGGGCTTAATAGATAAAACGTCATATTATTTGCACTCCAAATACATCACTTGCATTTATTCATTTATCAAATCAATTGAATCTACATGAATAGCAGCTAACCGGTCACAGTTCACTTTTTAAAAGTAAAATAGATGTTAGGACTAGCATATACAATACAAGTTGAGTGTTTTCTGAAGTTACAAAACTTGTCATAAAAATTTCTTTTTAATTTTAGTTAAAATTAGACTGAACAATGCAAAAATGCTTTTCCAATACTTAAAAAAATATAAACAGACTACATACATGATACTGTGGCAAATACTATGCATTTATCTATGACTTTATCACATAACAGTTTCCATTGATCAAGTGAAGATCTTTCGGTGAATTGAATAATATTATATAAGTTTTATGAGCAACTTAATTATACGTTTAAAGAAAAAGAAAGTCTGACATGGCAACAAGGACCGGACGTCCCTCGCCTCCTTACTTTATCCAAATACAGAGAAACCCGGCAACACCTGCGCTGCAAGGTCAGCCTTGTTCCCCCGACAACAAATGTCGGTCATACGACTCGGTAGTTAGGTAGGTAAAGTTTGATACTTATGTTCAAACAAGGAAAATAGCTCACCTTGAATCTAGAGCTCATTTTACCCTGGCCTTTTTGTACGCCACTTTTACGTTCTTGTATTGAATTGAAGTATTAAACTTAAGATTTATCACAGAATATACCAACACAAATCCTTAAACTCCGTATATGTATGGCACAAGGTTCAAAATATCTCATTCAAGATGATACGCGATTCAAGTTTTTGACAGCAAATGGAACTTCATACACTAGTACTTATTAGTCAACAGTTTGCAAGCACCTGATATTTTTTTTATTCTTTATTTCAGGTAAAAAACCCATATAACATGTACAATACATCATTAAAATAATACAAAAACACTACAGACATACAAGTAAAACAGGAAGAAACCTAAAGGCATAACAAATGGTAGGTCTTCCGAAAGAATGAATTCCTGTAGAAGGCATCGGAATGAATTAAGCGACAGATTGTTGCGTTATTGGAGGAAAATAACCTTTTTAGAAAAGAATAACAAATTCTCCTCCTCCTGGTTTCAAAAGTGTCAATATAGTTACAGACAAACATTTCACTCGCGCTGCAACGCCGAGGCAGATTCATTATGATTCTAAAACAATTATTATAAGCCACTCTGCACTTATACAAAACACCAGAGCTTACAGAGCTCCATAACTGGGCGCCATATAGCTGGGCGCAATACGTCATAAACAGGTGTCTCTTAACAGATGGAGAGCAACAGAAAAATTTGCGGTTGATACTGTTTGCACGACTATAAAGACTCTTCAGCATAGCAAGTACACAATCATCGTCACTTAATGTGGTATTTAGGTGTATACCCAAATAGACAAATGAGTTTACGTACTTCAGGTTGGTACCGTATAGACTTATAGGTGGCAATGGAAGCTGAAGTGGCAAACGAGTACATGGAAAATACATACAGAAAGTCTTATTAGTATTAAACAATATGTCATTACCATATTTTAATGATCAAAGTAAAATTCAATGGTACACTTTTTTGGTTCTCTAGATCATGTAAGTTCATGTTATAAAATATTAGTATATCTAAATACTGCGCCAGGAATCGAACGTTGTTTTGAAAAAGGCAACCGTCAGGACTGATGGAGACAGCTCACCAGTGGGAGGTGGTGTTTTATACACTGCTGACCCGCCACTCCGAGGGAATATTGAACCAAGGGCCGAAATTCCCAATGACGGGTGAAGTTCAACTGATGAACCCACCGTTGAGAAATACTAGTACCATTTTTTTAGTCTCCAACGCTGAGAACAACTCCATAAAAAATATGTCTAAGTTACGGACCATAATTAATCAAAATATCGTCGGTAGTAGATTTTATAAAACATTGTCACGTTGTCAGCAAGAAACTTCCTTGCATGATATGTGATACCGAATACTTGAGTGTCAAGCAAATAGAAGACTAGAACCTATATCCTGAATATCAAGTATGCTGTCATTGCCTTTATTGAACTACAACCCCCTGTAGTGCGACCTTCCGCTATCAAGATATTAATAAGTAGTTAATAAGTATTATCATATAGCCGGGTGACGTCGACCAATCAGAAGGCTCCATTCCACATTCTTTATGTCGCCGTAATGTCACAAATAGAGTCAAAATCGGGTATTTATTCATCCCAATCCATACATTAAACAAAATGAATAATCACCCGCATATGACCTCAGGTGACCCAATAGAACACGGCTCTACTTCTAAAAAATCCAAAAATAACTTGAGTTGTGTTCCAATGACTCCCATAAGAACACCTGTTCCCTGCCTGTGACCCAGATAGAAGGCCATAGAACGTGAACCCCCCAGTGACCTCAGGTGACTCCAGACGGAACAAATATTCTATGTTCTATTCAGCATGTGCAAGGGGTACATTGTGTCACTCTTCACTGCATCAGTTTGGATAGGCTATCGTGTAAGCTATATGATAATAGCGTTAATGGCCCGCCCTTTCTCGGTGAATATGGTGTGATAAAGCCTTGTCAGTTGCTATAACCACCTCATAAAGCCACCTCGTTCGCTGCGCTCTACTTGGTGGCTTTATTCGGTGGTTATAGCAACTGACAAGGCTTTATCACACCATATTCACCTCGGGGCGGGACATTAACCCTTAAGTATTTACAAAGTTATTGTAACGTGTTATCGTAACGTCACGGTATGACAAAATCCACATATTTCTTGTGCGAATAGATACAAATGACTTGTAATATGTACATTTAACCTCAAGTACTTCATTATCAAGCCACTGTCGTCAAGGTATAGAGTTCAATATTTCGTAGGTGTTTACAAACCAATTGTAGACCTTGTAGCACTTTTACAAATGGTTACGTAGCTTTCTACGAATGATACAAACCATACACAAACGCTTGTGACAAAGGCTTCTTCCATGATTGCTTCTTCTACTGAGTATTTACTGCACTGTATATTTTGGACGCTTTGTCTATCATTTTAAGAAATACATCATGCATAGTCTGGACTTTTCTTTTCCATTGACACACACTGGATTTTTTTTTTTCATTTCTGTGACACTAGCATTTCTTCCATAGTTGCTCATACAGAATCTTACAGCTTGACGAGTGAAGCTATACCGTAATACAGTAGCATTTACAGGCTGTAAATAGTAAAACTTTTTTCCAAATAGAGGGAAACCATAACCATAGCCCTGTAGAGGCTAATAACACAGTGGGGTCATTGCAAATGCTCAGCATTTTTATCTGACAGGAAAGACTAACTTATACAGTAGGCTTTTGATGTCAAGGCTTAGTTTACCTGTACTATTAAAAAGTTGAAGGGGAAAATAAATGGGGGCACATGTTTAACCCTATCTAGATCGGGCTTTTTTGAGCAAGATTTGACCCTCAGAACTCGCTAACGGTATGTCGTATGGCTACCAAATTTTTAGAGGATGGTGTACTAGTTAAAATTTATCATATCTACAATTTTTGTCATTATGACGTAATATGACGTCATTATGACGTCATTAATGTGATTTTATTGGCCAAAACCGTCTAGATAGGCTATTCCCTGAAAACTAAATGGTATACAACATAACTTTACCAAAAGTGTTTATGACAGAATATTAGAGTGTACTAAGTCTTATGTTGCCTATAGCAACACCGGTGACGTCATAAAATGACGTCATACATATTTAAGATATCCGCCATCTTGGATCATCAATGTTGAATTTTCAAAAATAGTTTTTTTTTCGTGATAAAGCCTAAAATGCACTGTAAACATACCAAAGACCTTCATTTAAACCTTTTTTGGAAAAAGAAATGGAAGTATTGATGAAATTTTAAGGAAAATAACTTGTATATACCTGTTCTAATGATATAGTCCGCCATCTTGGATTTTGGCCAATGACGTCATCAAATTAGCATAAATTATGCATATTTAATGATGAAATTTACATAAATTCATATGGGATGTTATTAATATTAGAAACCATGAGTAACTTGACATAAAACCCATAAAATTCTATTGTTGAAACAAAAATTACTAAATTTAGCAAAAAATGCCTGTCAGAAACCCGTTGCCATGGCAACACAAAAAATTACTATCTTATTCTAATGATAGAAAATTGTTGCCAACAATATTTTAGGAAAAGTCACCAAGTTTGGTCGTTCTAGCCCTAGCCATTCAGACGCTATGTGACATCAAAGTTGGCGCGGGCACTTTTAGCCCCCCCCCCGGTCTAGATAGGGTTAATTACGATTCACAAGGAGGAAACGGGCATCGCACGTGTATGGACGTTTGAACCATTTTTTCGTTCGTTTTGACAAGAGTGACCTTTTTAAAACGGAGATGATTATTGGCACTCTGTGAGACTGTATAAGTTGAAGTCATTCATCGCCTTGTGACTGATTCATCTGAAAGATTAACGTAGACTAAGGGTTTAACCGTATTATTGCATTTTCTATCATTAAAGCAATTTATATTTTTCCTCATGTCCTTTTAGCGTACACCTTATAGTTCCTGATACTAGCATATTAGCCTATAATAATAGGACATGGTTTATTTTAAACTCTTACGTGATTGATTGAAAATGACGAAATGGTAATAGGTCTACTTTTACACAAATAATGACTAATTAAAATAGCCAATATCTTCCCGTCCTACTTTTTGCTCTTCCCAGGCCATACGACAAGGGTGCTCCCGCTCTCCCCCAAATCCTATCACCTCTCCCAAAATGTGCAATGTTAGGGTTTCTCTTAATATTTTAATGAAAATTTTCAGATTTTCATAAACCGATTGGAAAGCACCCCTTTCTTAAAAATATTGCTTAGACCGGGAAGAAAACATAATGACTCTAAATAATGGAAACGTTTTAAATAAGCTACTAATAGGTTTGCCTTTTTACTCTGTATAGTAATGATGTTTTGGACCTTGCTTTTATTGCTTTCTCTGGCATTTTTAAATTTCTTCTTTGTCTTATTCGGCATAAGACCAATCTTGTGTAATTGAACACGGCACGACAAGGGTATTTAGGGTAAACCTCTTTATTAGCATTTCAGGAAAAGTAAGCGAGCATGCAGATGCAGTTTTTTTTCTGATTTGCCTTTGTAGCATTGCGTCGTTGTACTGGTGCTGAAAGATGAGCAGAGTTGCAGTTTGGTACTTCTTTAGTCCGTCCGTTGACTTCGTCCGTCACAGTCCAGATCGGTTCATCTGCAATAAATCAGAACACAGTTAGTAAACTCAAAGATATATTCATCATCATCTATACTTAAAAGTAAAATATACCATATATTCAAACATATATTTGGTGCTTTAAGTAGAATTGCATGTAGGTTTTTAAAATGTAATTTCATCAGGTTTTTCAAAGGTTAATCAGGTTTTTTTAGAGAGTAGTACAGATGATGATAGTAATACATAACTATTTTTGTGTTTGCTTACGTTATGTATTCAATGCAAAATGGGATCATGGTGCTTGTTTTATAGAATCTAAATTGGGATCAAACCATCTGACCAATTAGGATATAAATCGTTGATTACATGTATAGCGATTACTAAAAATATTGCTAATGATTTTGATAACGACGCAATAAATATTGTTTCCTTGGGTAAATCATTAGTGATTGATCAATAACAAACTACATTAGAAAAAAATGTTACAGCTGACGTTATATTTCACGTTAACTTCTTCAAACATAACAGCACATCGTATTATTGCGCCTACCGTTTCTAGTCACAGGTGACCAGATCCGCCCTGGCACAGGTCTGCAGCTCCTGGCTCCAGCGAGTGCCCGGAGGACAGTCAAACACAGCATCATGTCCCGCCTGGTGACACTGGATGTACATGGAGCAGTCATACGGGTGAGGCTGGAGAGAACCGTCAGGCTGATTCTCACAGAGCTTAGCTGTGGAAGAGAAAAGTATCAAAGGTTTAACATTTTATTATATTCCAGGTTTGACCAAAACTGAAAGTGTTAAAAAGCTATCTTTCCCTAGAATATTGTAGAGTGGAACTCTCTGTTACCAATTTGTTTAATGTAATATAGCTCGATGCCACCGAGTGGCGTGCCTTCTCAGCTGTCAATAAAGACAATTTGATGTCGCTTGCTTTACTACCGCTGTCTTCAGTACAGCTGTGGTCTGTGCCGCCGTCTGTGTCTAAAGTTGGATGAATGGATTTAATCAGAACATCAGCTTACCAATGAGCTGTTCCAGTCTTCCCTCACTGGTGTTTGTGTTTCCCGAGGATCGGGTAGTCTCGCCACAGGCGACGTTGATGTTCTCAATGTTACTCGTTCCTGATCCCGAGGATGCTGCTCCACCCAGGGTGTTGAACAGGCGGTCAAACATCTGTATGATCTCAGCAACGTTGTTTTGGCAGTCTCCGTCATAGTAGTAATCGGCATTGGCCATCTGAGGCATCCAAGCCAAATGCATCCCTAAAAAGTAGTTAAGGTACACGGTCATCAAAAAACCTAATGTATAATCTTTTACTGGAATTTAAGATCAATACGAGTAATTCATAACAAGTAACAAGCAATTCTAATTTCAAAAGTTGAAAAAATATCATATCAGCCATTGATGATTAGTATCAATAAACACTATACACACCGTCTTTATTATTTCTTGTAACACTCGAAGGTGAAGTACTCAAGTAAATACTCCACTTAAGAATACAAGTTTCTTTATATGTATTGTAATCTATAATGATTTAGAAAGCTACTATCAAAGCACACGTTAATGCCTCCTTTTTTGCATGTTTTGTATGCATTTTT